TTTCAGGTTTGAATGGATGGTCCGGAGAGTTTATATATAGAAGTCTGATGGCATTCGTCAGCTGACCTAGGAAGTGTCCTTTGATTGGTTGACAGCCACCTGCAATGCGTCAGGGAGTCCTCGAAGAGAGCAGTTCTTAAAGAGACAGACGCAGGAAACCGACTAGTGCAGTAAGTGCATACAGTGCTACAGATGCAACACTGGCAGCATGTCAGAGAACGAGTCTGCTGTTGGTATTCCGTCCTTTTTATGGTCAATACATTGATTTTGAATATGTTATTTAGAGAAATAAAGTGCGTTTAACTTAAAAACACCCTTAGGTTAGAAGCGACCATGGCTCATTGCCTAAAAGTAGAGGTTCTTGGTCAGGTTTGTGGTCCCAAATGGGTAATTGACCTAGAAAAGTTTGAGTTGTGAAAAGGTAGAGGACACAAGGAGGAAACTCATTCATCAGAAAGACTTCAAACATGTATCTACTTAAGGTCTTACTTCCTTTTAGATCTAAACTGTACAAAGAATACATTCAATATATACTGTACAAAGAATATATATCAAGACAGTTTTGTTTCTTGTGATTAGGTCTGTTCTTTCAGACCTCATACATACTTGACACAATTTCCCTCATCACTCTTAGGCACTGAGCCGATCTCAGTAGGGGTTCATAAATCTGTAATGAGTTAAAATAGCCAGGTGAGACTGAGCTCTCCATATGCATAATGAACAGCTCTAAATAAAGAAGTCATCAGTAGAGACACCTGATATCATGCTATGCTGGAGACAATGAGAGGTGCTCCATTTTATGGCTGTAGATTTTAATAATTCAACCATGTCTCTGTTACATCTCATTATGCTGGCAACACATATGAAAATAGACGAGGGAACCCCACCTGAATAAATACAATGACAAAACAAACAACAAAGATAAACTGCTCCACTTAATTTATTGTCCACAGCTTTCATTTTCATGCATCTTTTTCCAATTACATAGAAGGAACAGCCATTTAGGTTTTCAACATTTTTAGTGTGCAGTATTGCAGTACATTTTAAAAACTAAAAAAAATAATAATAATCTTTTTTTCTTCCTATGGAATGTATTCCAAGTAACATAAAAAAAAATAACACTACCAGCTTAAAGTTCAGTTTAGTAGTCATGCAGTGCATGTGATGCATGTAACAGTACAATCTGATGATATATACCAGTGCTTTTGTACTAAAAATGATTAATATTGTAACAGAATGGCCAATCAAACACTTGTGCATGTAAAAGCAACATCCTCACACTAACTGTGAGTTTACAATGTGTCTTTAGGTAGTGTAAGGAAACTTCAGTATTATACCTTGTTCTGGCTTCACCTCTAATTGTGCAAGGTTAAGCACATTACCATCTTTATCATCAGTAGTACTGAACACTACTGTAGCATGTTCAGGAATCTCAGCATGCTTCAGCTGAAGAGTGACAGTTTCTGTCGAGTGCCAGTTGAGTGCAATAAGGTAGCGTTCATTCTGGTCCCAGCTTCGCACATAGGCCATGGCGGAGGTCGAGCTGAACAAAGGCAAGTATTCTCCATGCTGCAAAGAGCGCTCTTTTGACCTTTTTTCACTCACAGACTTGAAGAACTTACGGAAAGTGGTCGTTTCACCCTGTAAAATAAATGCATGAAAATGTAACTAAAGCTGGTCACAACATTGAATAGGGTCACTTTGGAGATTCAGCACTGTGTGCACATGCTCCTTACCTCTGTCATATTTTGTTTAGAGTCACCCCATACCATGATCGGATTTTTGGTCACCTAAATGGAAAGATAACAACGTTTTAGGATCTGCTCCAGGAAAACACCTGGATCTGTCTGAATTCTCTTGATAAAAATCTTCAGTTTACTCACCTCATCTTGCAGTCCAATCTCATCCCCATAATTGAACACCGGTGTGCCTGGCAGAGTGAGCAGCAGCAGCTGATTCAACTTGACTTTGGCAAGCCCCACCAATGAAGCCAGGTGTCCAGCAATACGCCCACCTATGTTCCAAGCCAGTCTGGTCTGACTGTAAGCGGAATACAAGCGATCAACAGTATTGGCAACGTCCAGAGCAGATATGGATCTTAAAGCACCAGTGAGGAGCAGGTCCACACCAGTTTTGTTCAACACAGCAACAATGTCATCAGGAGAGGACTGATCCGTAACACCAATTAAGACCCTGGAAGGAAAAAGTCAGTGTTTAATAGAAGTATTAAGCACCATATGGAGCCGTTTGGTTGGCAACACAATCTCAAACTAAGAAACGGCCCACTCGTGTCCCCTTGACTGGAGTTCAGTTTGTAAAAATTCCTACCAACCACCACAAGGTGGCTCCTTTACCTCACAAAAGAGTGAATGTGCACTAAAAATCAAATTTAGGAGTAAAAGTTCAACTATCGATTGCTCACTTTTTCATTTTTCCCTCTGATTCCGTTTGGTTGTGGATAAAGACTCTGACATCCTCCCAAAGGGTCGGGGCTGCAGTGGACACTTTCTCAACACCGTAGAAGAGGAATCCATCTACACCTTCTTCTAGCCAATGCACCAGAGCAGACTGCAAAGGCAAAAGTCACAATTATTACTCTGAAAACTCAAGTACACAAATCAAGTTCAAGTGACAACGTAGATTAAGAAAGTCAAGCAATTATCTAGATCTATTGTCATACCTCCAGTTTGACCACAGTGCTGGCAGCATCGGCAAACCAGGGCTCTTTGCCTTTATAGTTAGGGGTCAGGTCCAAAACAACAGAGATACCTTGAAGTCAACATAAAAATACAATTAACTGAAAAACTAATAAATAATATAAATATATATATTAGTATACACTGCCTGGATCATTGGATCATTATTGTAGTAATTAATGTTTCATTATTGTAGTAATTAATGTAATTAATGTTGAGCCATTGGAATATATGGACATGGGTACGTCTTCTGACATAGTTGTTTGAGAAATAAAATGCGACACACTGCATCAGTTAGTGTTACAATAATCGTTACCAAACATACAGTATGCCAGAAACATATTAATCACCGATTAATAATGATTCAACCCTAAAATCTTAGTATTTGCTTATTTAAATCCAGACAGCAACATTTTGGCCAGGCAGTGTATATGGAAGTCATTTTAAATAAAAATCCATCAAGATAACAGAAGTAGCAAATGCTTCATTTTATAATGCAAACTATAGCTCACCTCTCTTGTGTGCAGCCTTAATGACTTCTTGAAACTGTGTCAGATCACCAGCCTCTTCAGCAATCTCAGTCAATTTCAGTTTCTCAGGCTCATCAGCACTGGACACATGGATCGGGCCAATGATCAGACCCTTCATCTTCAACTCATCCATCGCCTGAACTTTTTCAGCCACACCTGAGGGGTAACCAAAAGTCAGAGTGAAATAAATATGCAGCATTGCAAAATATTAAAGACAATAAGGGAATAAATATGGAATGTTTCAAATAACAGACCACATCCATGTTAATACGGACGTCACTGTACCTCAAATTATTCATTAAAAGACATTCTACCACTCTTCCTTTAAAATCATTTATGCTATTCCATTAATATAGTCCACAGACTGATAAATGCGCTGAGCAAACAGGATGGCATGCAAGCGAATAAGGGAGGAAACCAGATTTGTTGATTCAGCAGCATAAGGACAGAGCAATTAATGCGTTTCAACATGTTCAGAGCCTGTCATCCACCTTTAATCCCTGAACTGACCCATCCCTGTGATCCATTAACACTCCCTCCTCCCCACAAGATCTATTTTGGTTGCTTGGATGCTGGCCCATAGAGTCGTCGGACGTCACTGTACCTCAAATTATTCATTAAAAGACATTCTACCACTCTTCCTTTAAAATCATTTATGCTATTCCATTAATATAGTCCACAGACTGATAAATGCGCTGAGCAAACAGGATGGCATGCAAGCGAATAAGGGAGGAAACCAGATTTGTTGATTCAGCAGCATAAGGACAGAGCAATTAATGCGTTTCAACATGTTCAGAGCCTGTCATCCGCCTTTAATCCCTGAACTGACCCATCCCTGTGATCCATTAACACTCCCTCCTCCCCACAAGATCTATTTTGGTTTCTTGGATGCTGGCCCATAGAGTCGTCTGATTTTACCTATCAACTTTGAAGACTCTGTAAAGGAGTTCACATCTCCAATCTGGTACAGAGGTCCATAGCTCCACCAGTTCATCTCAGGGAGGGGCTTGCATCGAGGAGCTTGAATAATGATGGCAATCGCACCAGCTAGCATGCCCAGCCAACCAAGCCAGAACAGGATCAGAAGTGCCCAACGAACTTTAACCCACCTATTCACAAAAAGACAACAGCAATTAAATCATCAGAGTACCTGCAAATGGCAAAATCCACACCAAGATCTAACTGAAAGGAAATGGGGCACCGTACCCTGTTGTTCCAGCTACTTTCATGAGCTCTTCTTTGGTTAACCCAGTGAATTTGCTCTCCTCTTCTGGAATCTTCACCTTTACAATGCCATTCTTCTCGGATACAGGCGAGATAGCATAATTATTTCCAGCCTCCCCCTCTGTCATGGGCTGCTTCTCCTGCTCCACCTCATTGAGCTCCACATCTTTCATATCCACTTCAGTTTTGTTGCTCATTTTGTCCGTTTATGTCAAATGTCCTGAAAAGAAAATGAATTAGATTAGCTGCAAGCACAGAACTATCGTCACGGCACCAGGAAGTACATGTTTGACGTCATGGGCATGACACGCGTGGCCACTGCCAGGCAAGATACACGGAAGGTTGCATCACCTAAAATCGTTCACATGTCAGAGCACATTGTGTCCCCTCATGCTCAGTAAAGACACATGGTCCTGCCCAGTACCTGCAGGCTCACAAGCAGGGACAACAAGTTTTCTTCCTTTTGTTGTTCTGAAAAACAATAGCTTCTCGTCAGGAATACATCATCTCATCATTCCTCAGTATGTGTTAATGAAATTAGAGAAGATGTGAGAGAAGTACAAACTTGAGAACAAAAGAGCAAAAGTGCTCATTTGCACTGTCATTGATCATTTCTCCCGAAAACAATCAACCATCCTGGAGGGACTAAGCCAATCAACATTACACAAACCCTTGAGTCAACCTTAAATCATTCAATTCAACAAAACCAAATTCAACCAACTGGTTTGTGTGGTACAGTTAGAGATTTCATAACAGGCAAACCTTTTCCAAATGGCAAGACACTTTTTGTCTGTGCCAGTTTGAGTCAGCATGCTGACCTCTCTTTCCTTTCCAGGCTAGTATGTGCAATTCTTGGATTGGCGCCTGGAAGAGTTAGAGATAACTGCACGACCCATGATGGTTCTGCATGATCAACATGAGACATCTGAAATGTTTACTCCAAAAATGTAGGTGCTCTGGCAATAAATTCATTATGATAATGAAATACAGCATCAGTTCTACAGTTCAAAGGATTTGTGTAAATCAACAAGTTTTCCTCATATCTACTTAGCATAAAAATCCATTTGTCAGCGCTGTTGTTGGAAATGGCTTTTAATGTATCACTGCCCCCTGGTGTTCATCTGAGTGTTTGCGCTGTTCCAGACCTTGTCAGTTTTAGCAGAAAATGACACTTGTACTGTCAAGTTCATCTGAAATATGAGTTTTCATTAGCACGTGGATTGAATTCTTGGATGAATGTTCTATTCTGGATGTTATGCTATTATTATTAACCCATACACTGTTAAAGCAATTTTCACTACTGTTGTGAAGTAATTCTTCTCCAAATTTCGACGCAATGCTAAAAAATGTAAATTATGTCATTGTGTTTGTGTTCAAGATTTCACTGTGATGTGAAAAACATTGAATGTTTGACTCTCAAGCTTAATTCCCCCCAAACTCAGTGAATTCAGCGACATTTTACACAATAGAATCACACATTCTGAAAGTAAAGAACTTGCTTAATATATTCAATTTTGATTCGTGTTTATTTGGATATTTGCTTTTAAAAAGTGTAATAAAATCTATTTGATTTCTTCAGTGGAGATTAAAATTAGAGAGCAATGAACACTACATTTTTTCAGGAAAAATTTTGTAATCCTCATAATTCAAAATTTGAAGGAATTTTAGTTGTGGCTATACCATGTTAGTAGAACAGTGTTTTACAAAATAACCAAGGCATTTCAATAAAAGCCCTTTATTTTGTGGAAAACACAGTGATCAAAATTAGAGAACAGCAATGATTGTAGCACAAAGAAAGATTACAACTAAAATTTCTGCTTTGAATGGCTTCAGCACATCTGTGCTGCAGGACATCACTAATTTCTCACGCTACATCTTGGTCCACTCTTCTTCCAGTCTCTTCCACAGTTCGGTGACTGTGGTGGGTTTCTTAGCCATAACTTTTGTCACCAAGGATTTTCCAGAGATTTTCAATCTGGTTTAGATCATGACTCTTGGCTGGCCATTTCATTATTTCAATGTTTTCAGCTTCAAGGAACTGCTTTACCCATTTTGCATTATGATGAAGAGCACTGTCCTGTGCGAAAAATTGCTGGCTGATTGGGCGATGAATGCAGGGAAGGAAAGGTCCAAATTCTCTTAAATGTTGAGAGACTGTATGCCGAGACAGATCCTTAACGTGTTCAGCGCTGAACTGGCGAGCAATTCCAGCTGCAGTGTTGAACCGATTGCCCTTTGAGATTCTCTGCATTATTCTGTCCTTTGTATTTTGTGAAAGACCAGCCTTTCTGGGGGACTTGAATGAGTTAGTGACAAGGACACAATATTCTAGAAATCACAGATTTGGATCGACCAACTTCTCTTGCTATGGCTGCTGTTGGCCTTCATCTGGATAACCGGCTGTCAGAGGGTTTCAATCACTTTAGAGCGGCTCACCATCTTGCAAAGTCAATGAAAAGTTTGGCTGTCAGTTAAATAGGGCTTGTCAGATAATTAAGGAAATTAGTATTAGGTTCCAGATTAACACCAAATAACTAGGAGGCATCTGTAAGTGTTCTCTAATTTTGCTCAGTGTTCTTTTTCAAATATCTCATTTAAGTTTTTTATACTGCGCTTCAGAATATGCTCTAAAAACTGTGCTTTCGCTCCTGTTAGGATAATTTAAAATAGGCCTAAGCAGTGACCTCGAAATTTAGGAAATTGCAGTTTGGTCCCAAATTTTGATCTCCACTTTATTTGATTTCCACCAAATAGCTGGAGCCACCAGGGGCCAGTGTCTCTCTGAACAGCAGCATGATTAGAGCGGAAGTGGCGGTGTTCTTTCTAAAGGCGGGATCAGGAAGCAGCGCTGTGGGAGTTATTTTGGGCGCATTGAACATTGACTCTGAACAGCACGGCGTTTGCGGATGAGGATTGAAATTTCTCCATGATAGTGTCCAGGTATGATATAAACTATGTTTCTGCTGCACGTGTGTTTAAAAATACTGTTCATTCTGTTATGTTTGCCACTTAGGTTTTTATTATTTTTAAATGAATAGAGAATGGCATGTCAGCTGTCGTTGTGTGGCGCTGAACGTGAAGAAATGAGGCGGGACCTCAAAAACTCGTGAAAACTACGAAAACTTTACTCTCATCAACTGCATAATTTCATAATTTATTAATTAGTTATCTCTTTGTTGTGTGTTTGATGGTTGTATTAATTATATGTAGTTTCACTTTTGGTTTTCTCTTTAGTCTCGCAACTCGCCCTCACTTTCCTTTCTCAGTGTTACAATATAATAACGTTACATGAGGAAATGAGAGGTAAATTGGCTGATTTTTAAGGGCAGGCACATTTGCATTTTAGCAATAGCTGAAATGATATCTGGAGCTGAATAGATTTTTTTTTCTTTTGACTTTTATGTACAGTTAGTTTCGGACTATTAAGAAATCAAACCTTTTAACAAATGTTTTTCTGTTTTAAGCCACTGAAGGAAGTCAACTTGAAATCCCGCAACGCTCTCTAATACAAATCAACAATGTCGTCAACATCACAAAAACACAAGGACTTTGTGGCAGAGCCCATGGGGGAGAAGTCTGTGATGGCACTAGCAGGAATCGGTGAAGTTCTTGGAAAGAGAAGCAGAAACACGCTGTTTTTCGGGCCTGTCTCTTTAAATGTAAATGAGCTGCTGCTCCCCGCCCCCTTTTCCCGAATAGAGCTGTGCCATTACAGCTCGGACCTGCTAAAAAAACATCTGTTTTGGTTCTGATTTTCATATTTATCGCTCTGAAATCATGCGTTTTAAACCATATTTAAACTTCTTATATAAGGTTTTCTGAGAGCACACATCCGAAGCACACAGAAAGCGAAAAGGCAGAACAGTTAGCATGTTTTGCTCAAACTTTCACCATGGCATTAAAGCTACTACACCGCTGTCGCTTGCCAAATCAAAATGACGGCGCCGTGGGTGCAAACTTACAGATTAAGGGGTGGTAATATAATGAGATCCCTTTGCAATGTCACTAGGGGAGCGAAATCAGACGCACTCGTTTTCTCAGTTGCTTGCAGAAAAAGGCTTACCAAAACAAAGTTACTGGGTTAATCTTTTTCACGTTTCCTTGGTTGGTAGACACACCGGGGACCTGATTATAGCACTTAAAACCTGGAAAAGTCAGATTTTCATGATATGTCACCTTTAAATTCCGTTCCCAAAAAAAATATAAAAAATTGAGCACAAACTGTTAAACAATAGTGATTTTTTCTCAATAAGCAGTACACTTAAGTGTGTTTCGTTTAAAAGATTTATTCATTCCTTCATTGGATTCTGTCTGCATTATTTTAATTACTTGGGACCACAAGTTTTAACAGATATTCTCTTTACACTTTTCTTCAGTAATTTATCTTTTAAACTAATTTCCAGACTAGATACCATTTGTTTTAGTGGTCAGAAAAATGTAATTGGTTTTAGGACATAAATTTCATTTTACAAACCCCTTTAGGAGTGCTATGCACTGGTGGTATTTGTGTGTAGGTATTAGCAGTCTCACTTTCTCACAATAATCTAAACTTTAAAAGCTCTACCAGTTAATCAGAAATGTCAACCAGCGTAGCGTACATAGTAACCTCAAACAAAACATTAAAAAAATCAAAATATACATACAGAATTTGTAAATCACCATAGTATGCTATGTGAAGAACATAACGAATGTCTTGAATATAGTAAAATTTGAAATTATTGAAATATCCAGACCCACACCTATTTCCTTTTGCTTGATTAAAAAACTGTGTGCTTGCATATGTGTGTATCAGTGTGTGTTTCATCTAATCAATTTGCATCGATCTTGATGCTGTTTTGTCCCCTTAATGAAAAGGAACAGGGTTTCCCAAAAAAACAGGAGAATAAAAATATCCTCACAAGCATGATTTTGTAAATTTGGTCTTTGCGCTGTCAATCGCTGAAATTTAGAAACCACTTTGCATTTATTAAAGCTTAATTTGGGATTTATTTTGCTGTGTCGTGTCTCGTTGAGTGTTGTGTTGTGTTGTGTGATGTGCGTACACAAATCATTATCATCTAAATGAGACTAATCCTGCTCTTCCTGTGTGCTGCTCAGAGTAGAGCACAGAAGAACTTTTTCTCCCTGAACGGGTTTTCTGAAGTGGGCACAGGGGTGATGAGAGGGTCCTCACATGCATGGGCATCACAGTAGGCCATCAAGTCCGCCGCTGCCTTAGACACCTAAGAATCCAGACAGATTGTCAGTGCTGAAATGAAAAGCACTCAAACAGCTATTGATTCTAAGAAAGCTGAAAGTCTTTGTCTTATAAGACAAGACACTGCAGGTGAATAAGGTAAAAAAAAAAATGAACAGATGCTTTCCTCAGGTTATCAATTGTTTTCTCAAATGTTATGTTCAAATATTATGTATGTATATAAGTATGGCATTATCTAATTAAATATACACTAATTTGCATACATTTCTAGAAGAGACAAAAATTCTTGTTTCATTTTGTTCATTTGACAAGAGAGTTATAGAGGGGAATTTGGATGACTCCATAAATCAGAAAAAGCTGGGTCCTCACATGCATGGGCATCACAGTAGGCCATCAAGTCCGCCGCTGCCTTAGACACCTAAGAATCCAGACAGATTGTCAGTGCTGAAATGAAAAGCACTCAAACAGCTATTGATTCTAAGAAAGCTGAAAGTCTTTGTCTTATAAGACAAGACACTGCAGGTGAATAAGGTAAAAAAAAAAATGAACAGATGCTTTCCTCAGGTTATCAATTGTTTTCTCAAATGTTATGTTCAAATATTATGTATGTATATAAGTATGGCATTATCTAATTAAATATACACTAATTTGCATACATTTCTAGAAGAGACAAAAATTCTTGTTTCATTTTGTTCATTTGACAAGAGAGTTATAGAGGGGAATTTGGATGACTCCATAAATCAGAAAAAGCTATCAAAAGCAAAAAAAAAAAAAAAGTTATATGAATCAGGTGAATGTTATATGAACAAACTCTCTTGTAAAAACCTCCAAAATGTAAATAAAACTAAAGTTCAATGTATGTAATTGCTACTGAAGTGGAGATTTCTGTGCATGGGAATAAACTCATTTTGAGAAAACAGCTTTGCGATTGAAATCTACACACAAATAAATAAAGCATAATAAAATGAACACTTAAATGGGTATTTTGAATGTTTTCTTTTCACCAGTCTAAAATGAAGACAAGTTATGGATACAAAATTGCCCAAAATCTCAGACCAGCGCCTAAAACAACACTGTCTTGCCTTACACATGGCACCTTCCTATCTTGGCTAAAACAGCATTTTAATTAAATAGAACATTGTATGAGTGAAATGCAAGGTTGAGGTCAATGTTTAAAGACTGTTGAATGCTTCAAATTGTACTTGTAGGACAGACTTTACCGGGGGGATTGTAGAATTAGGTCATACCTATTAACCTGATTCCAGATCTTTGATCACATCTGATACAAATTATTCTGCTACGTACGGGGTGGTATAATAAGACATTTTTATAGGCAGGCAGGATTACCACTGATCTGACTCCTATTTGCCACATTTTCTGGTTATTTTGCATGGCAACCCTCACCTTGATTCGACAAAAACTGGCTTCAATCTTTAGCTGTTCCACCAGCTTCCTGGCCTGACCGACGCTCATGGTGCTGTTCACAGGGGTGTCTCCTTTCATCCTGCCACACACACACACACACACACACACAAAATAACTCACAAAAATTAATCTGCTCATCTGGATTAACAAATTCATAATCATAATCCAGCCAATAAAAGTATATTTGTCCACTCTTAAATGTAGAAAATCAAGAGGGTTTTCGCAGTGATGCAACAGAAGAACTATTTTGGGTTCTCCAAAGAACCTTCCAGTGAAGAGTTCTTAAAATAACCATTATTTCGTACACTATTAAAAATAAAGGTTTCAAAAGAGGGGTTTCAGCAATGCCATAGAAGAACCATTTTGTTTCCTAGAAGAACATTTCAGTGAACAGTTCTTAAAAGAACCAATGTGGAAAAACATTTTAATAATCTAAAGAACCATTTTCCACTATCAAGAACCTTTTGTGGAATGGAAAGGTTCCATGGATGTTAAAGGTTCTCATAGTATAGAAGAAGAGTGTAATTGATCAAGTGATGCTACAACTATTAATATAGAGAATTAGGGGATAAATTATGTACAGATTCTGAGGTGACTTTACAATAAGGTCCTTTAGTTAATGGTTTAACTAAACAACACAGTTGTTACAGTATTTATTAATCCTTGTTAACATTATTTCATAAAAATACAGCTGTTAGCTAATGTTGGCTCAGGTCCATTAAATAATACTAACAGAAACAACTTTTGATCTTAGTAAATGTTGAAATTAACATTAATTAAGATTAATAAATACCTTAGAGGCATTTTTCATTATAGTGTTAGTATATCTAATGTTAACAAATGAAACCTTATCATAAAAGGTTACCGATTCTGTTTACAGTGCACAGTCTCTGGAAGCATCTTCCTGTGGTCCAAGACTCTCATACCCTCTTCACTTCCTGTCTTTCCTCCCTCGGTATCATTTACTACTGCTTTGCTAAAAGCTGCTGCCCTAGAAAACCAAAACCTCACCTTGGATTGCAATGATCTGATAGCAACACATTTCATCATCCTGAAACCCTGCATTTCCAGGCGATGATCATCAGAATATTTTCTATAAACAGATTTAGAGCTATTCATAATCATCTAAATACATATACATACATATCTACCAATGAGTAGCATTGATGATTTTGAATAGGATTTAGGCAGTGTATTGGGGAATGCCGGCCCCATTTTGCACATAGGATGTGCTTGCAGGGATCCAATCACCTCATGGAATATACCATATTATTCAGAGCAAAAGCACAGAAAAAAAAAACAGTCGTTTTGAATGTAATCTGGTTCAATGTAAACATTTAGGCATCGATAGATGAAGAAATCACGTGTTGCAGACAGCAAAAAAAACTAGGCCAGATGCAGAAATGACAATCACTCAAATAGGTAACATAAGACCCTTATATATGAAAATATGATACAGGGAACAAAACATGCAATGAATTTCAGTTAATCAAATGAAATGAAATGAAAGCAATACATTTAAAAGGATGCATACAAGAAAATAGGAGTGAATGGAGATCAAGAAGCATAAAAAAGACCACAGTGCTGTATTTGTCTATTTTTGGCCTTTTTTACCCTCTTTTCTCCATTTCACTCTATTTCTTACCCTTGCTGTATTCCTCTTGTGGTGATATCGCTCCCTCCTCTTCTGTCTTATTCCTTCTCTCTCTCTATCTGTCAGTGTTGTTGCTTTCAGTGCAGCCGGACCGCACCCTCATAGACAGTGTGGATGCTACCCAGTTCTGTACAGTCCAGTGCACTGCAATTCTGCTACAATGAACACCAGTCTCTTCGTACGTACATAAATCTCCCCTCTGCAGTGAGTGGAATGTGCCAACTGGAGGGAGGGGGGCCCTATTGGGATTGATTTATTCTGTGGGCTGGCTCATACCATCTTTCCAGCAGCATAGGGTGGATGAAGGCGGAGGGAAATATATTGATGTAAAGCAGTGTATTTAAAACTAAAATCCCACAAAATGGATTTATATTGTCAAAAATGATAGTGAAACATTTGATAGCGTGAAATATTTCTTGTGTTTTTTGCCGGTGATGTTGCTGAAGCTTCTGAACAAGTGAGCCTTCCCTCTCATTGCTCTGTTACCATGGGAACTGCTGCAGTCTCAGCCTCTTTGTCTTGTACCGAGGCACCATTTTGACTCAGTGGTCTCTCCCGCCTTGGTTAAGATCTTAAACCACCCCACATCTTTACATCACTCCACCCTCCCCCTGCATTCATTCTCATGTTACAGTCACTTTGTTGCAAATCTGCCCCATAGTTTCCTCCTGAGAAATGAAAATATTGTTATCTGAAACATTGGGTGCGTAAAGAAAGAATAAACGGTTCCTAATGGTGCTCAGCTACATTAAATTGAATATGTTTTTGATTTTTGGTTCAGTACCAATGAATATGTCCTAGATGATAAAAAGACTAAATGTGATGTGTTTTATTTATGTTGGCAATATACATTTTGAAAAACGTTTATACCATTTTCAACAAATGTGAAATTGAATTAATCAAATGTCAAGTGGTGTAACCAAGTAAAAAGACTAAAACACTTTCCCTGTAACCTTTACTACTACTACTATTATTATTAGGCTATTATTATTATTATTACATAAAACATAGTTTTTTAGTCATGAATATAAATTTTCTTAGGGTTGCTCCATAAACAAAACATGCCTCTTCACATAACAAAAACATCTGGTTTTAGACAATTTAATTTAATTTAATAATTAAATTTTTACTTTATTTGAAAAATTTGTTATGTCATTGTTATTATTTTTTAGATATAGATAGATAATTTGCTCTAACCTTTGTGTAGGCTATTCTGCAAAGTTGAGGAAGAGACTTTGCTTCAATTAGTCTACAATTGGTTAAATCTCTTTGGGAGAATTAAGTTGAGAATTAAGTCCTTTAATACAAATGTAATTCAAACTTTTCGAAGAAAGATATATTTCTTACTTTTTCTCGCAGTGGTCATGCTGTTGTATCTTACATTGAACTTTCCTTTTTGATTTATGTTATTGTATTTCCGTGTGATTCCGAAAAATCCATATAAATCAAAACTAATTTTCTGTAACGATTCAATTCGTATGAATAACAGCATATTTTAAATTGTAGCACTGCATAAGCAATAAGCATCACCGCTGCAGACACGCAAAGGCATCGAACAGCTTGTATTTTGTACCTCTTCTGTTGCCGTACGTGTGCTTCTGTCACACCAGCAGAGGCGCCACTGAGCTAAACAGATGGTTGTTTTTCTCTGATCTATAGATACTAAGTGACAAACATTCGTTTTAGTTTTTGATTAAATATTATTTAGAGATCAATTGATCTGCCCTGAAATGCATAAATTATACGTCACCAAAGGACGTCACTCTAGCACATAACAGAGGAAAGGAAGGGAAAGGAAAGGGGTCAATTATTTGTTCAGATCAAGCAGCAACCTCCCGCTCTCTCTCGTGAAGCCATCAAGGAAGTGACTTAAACTGTAATTCATCAACTGGCCGCTAGAGGCTGGCTCCAAAAGGGAGTCAGTCCCATAGACTCCCCATGTTAAAATGCCCAACTTTACAGCAGAAAAAAAACATGTTTACAGCCTGGTACAAAAAGTGGTTTTGGTCTATATAGCTAATTTTGCCCTTCATGACAACTGTGAGGGGGGTGAATTTTTTTTATAACTCATCCGTTTAAATTATATTAAGCCTTAAAGTTTTGCATAATTAAGGGCGTGGCCACTTGAGTGACAGGTGGATTGCGCTGCTGTCACCACCATCGAGCTAGGTGGGCGTGGTTTCAGCAACCAGCACTATCCGGGAGTGACACGCAGTGCCGTGCTGCCAAGACAGCGACGGCCGGCTCCGCCCACTTTGAGCTTCAAAAACCTCTTCAGGAACCTACGGGTGACGTCACGGACACTACGTCCATATTTTTATACAGTCTATGGTTGGACCATGTAAAAAGTCCACAAATTGCATTTAAATAAACACGCATTTTGATTGGTGATGACAGTCATACGTCATTTCATGACGACAGACGCAACACGACACTGTCATTATTTTTACGCCCGCTAGAGGGCACTAAACTTTAAAACGTAAATATAGGTCGTAATAAGGTGCA